GGGCACTTTCTGCACCTCACCTCCGGTCAATTAAGAATAGGGCTTCCACGGGTACCTCCTTGTTATGGACGTTTTCGTATTCCTTGCATTCCAAAAACCGACACGTTGTCTCTCAAATATTGATCCCTCGCTAAGAGGAAAACCTTCTGTGCCCGTATTGTCTATCAAGGCTACACCAATTCAAAGGTGGTGCTCAAACAAAGGGCGCATCGTTTAATGCTAATCATGTTCTATTGATACCTTTTGTCCTTTTAAAACCACTTTTTCCAGCCAGTTTTTTCAGGATCGCGCTGTCGTACTGGTTTTAACACCCTGTCTCCCTGCGACAATTCAACTCCCATTCTCACGCGGGTGTTGTTAGGATCACGTGATTGTTCTCGTGTCTCGCGACTTAGACGTCGCTTGATGGCTCGCTATAGAAGGAAATGAATTCCAAGACATCAAAACAACTCGCATTTTCTTTTTTTAATGATATTAATAACCTAGAAGGCTACGTCCTGCCAAATGTTGTCTGAAATTCAATTTACTTCTAGTTCTACCTTTATTTGCTGTAATCGTATAGATTTCAGCTAAATTTAGAAACGTGCCCGAGACAGGAACGTGGAAAAAATAACAGAAATAGTCCTGAGTGGACGGTTGCCGATGGAAAATAATAAGACTAGTTAAAAGGATGTGTTTATTTAATAGGTAAGGAGTTGCGTGCGAGCTGTTTTCTTATTATTGCTTATGCATGGAATTCATTTCCCTTTCCATGTAGCTCCTGTACACATCTGTTTTGGAAGTTCGATTTTAACTCTCGCGTCCAGTAAGTATTTCAAACAACNAAATGCTAAAATGGGTTATTGTGATGACACTGCCATCAGTATGGATTTTTCGGCTACAATATGTGTCCCCAATTAATAGAAGGGTGTTTCCCCTCTCGCTAGCTAAACTTTAACACATTGATAAAGTTTTCGATAAATTGTTTCTTAAAAGTTCGAAAAGAGAGAGCACTGTCACCAAAATCCAGGTAAAAACACGCATCAAATTAAATACTTCACCTGGCTATTCGTAAAGAAAACTACCAGCTTTCTGCAGCGTATCTCGATAACGACCAGCACAATTGAGACTACAACACCGCCAAGAAGGATAATAAAAACACCGGCCAAGTTGTTCACGTCGAGGCTCTGTGTATTGCCAGTTTTCTTCTGTGAAGGCTTTGGGCACTGGCTGCGATCGTCCCACCAACTTCGACGTGTCTTTTCAATAAAGTTCTTTTCTCGTAACTACAAATAAAAAATCGAGGCAAGTCAATCTTCACAATGTGGGCAACTTAGCTAAAGTAGGTTCTATAGATGGTATGAGTTGAACCATTCGCCCTTGAGTTGTCAAGAGCGTCGTTTGAGCTAGGAGACAAACTTCATCATACTTAACTGGTTCAGACCTCTCGTCTTTAGCGCAGAACAACTACTGCATAAGTTTCATTGGACGTTGAATGGCATGGGTCGACCATCACCACTTACAAGACTCTTTATAATTGGCCAAACGAAACAGTAAAGAAAAAACACAATACCCCTAGCTTTCACAACAGAAGAGTCGCAAATTAACATTTACAAGAACGAATGAAAATAGAGGTTTCGAGATCTCAAGAGCACTCTTCTCTAATAATTGTGATTTTGATCAAAATGGTTTTAAGTTTTTCAATTTTATCGCAATATTTCATGGTGAAATTATCAAGTAAATTTCTTCTTACACACGTGCCTTTTTCCCGCTTTTTGAACTTGGACTCTGCCGTCATTTATCTCCATTTTGAAGACACGATCTTACATTGTTGTTAAGAAACGCAATATCTGAGTGGCTAATAAGAATGTTCGAAAATCGTTGCAAAGCTGACTCCTAATAAAAAGTTTAAAGTGGCGTGTTCCACAAAGTAAAAGATTTAAGGAACAAGACAGTTGCTACTGTTCGTATTTTCTTTTTTTCTCTCTCTCTCTCTCTTGGAAAAAACTAATCGAAAATTCTTTGCCAGGTTATGACAACGGAGATCACTGTGTCCCTCCAATGATACTTACCTTTAAAATGGCAACCGTGATTCTGTTGGTGTACGGAGAGTTTCTTTGCAGTCCAATTCCATAGCTCTTTGTTTGAATGAGATTTTTCAACAGTCTCGTATTGCAAGGTTTTTGTTGATTGTAGTACTCCAGGTAAGGATATTCCGTTATGTAAGCATACTTGTCTGTCCTCGCTCGTCCCACTCCTGTTTCGGTATCCTTTACAAAGGTCTTGTACTCCCTCATGTGAGAGAACATTTTTCTATACAGCGAGTCCTCTGATTTTTCGAAGAACTTGTACACTGAGCCTCCATCTTTGACACCGTATTTAATGTCATCCTGATTTGCAAGAGCCTCTAATGAATTGATGGTGTCTGCAGTACGTTTGACTGGCAAAGAGAGAGAGAAATAAAATAATAATTACTGAAACCCATTTTGCAATTTAACATTGCTAAAACAGTTTTGGACGGTAAGAAGCGAGTAATTAGTATTACCAGATATCTTAAATGTGTAAGAAGAGCACAGGATTGCAGACATATGGCAAATAGTTCTTGTTTCTTCGTCGTTTCTTGATTCCTAATTTGCCGAGATAATATTTTGAAGATAGAATTTACTTTGGTAGACTAGTAGATTTGATAAATTGTCATCGATAGCGTCATTTAGCAAGAGGAGAATACTGAATGTACAGTCGAACCTCTCTACAACGGCCACCTCCACAACGGCAACGGCCACTAAAGCGCGTCCCAACTGCCAAAATAACCTCTCGACAACGGCCAGTTAATCAGCGACAGACGAATGGTGTATACAAAATCACATTTTATATTGTAAAAGGTCGCAAACGTGATCTGTACCGCGCGGCGTTGCTATTTGGTTTCCGTTTTATCGATATAATTAGATTGTGATGGGTATTTCTATGCCACAGTCAACATTTTTTAAACACAATATGTTGTACCCCTAAAAAAACAGGTGTCATAATTTACACCCTTACCTCCCCTAACGGCCACCTCTCTATAAGGGCCACCTCCATCTGTCCCCAAGGTAGCCGTTGTAGAGAGGTTTGACTGCATACTTTAAAACAATCAATTTACAGATATTTGGTGGTTCCGCACATCGACACGAGCGGTAAACAGCTCGACTAGATGTCCTCAGGGGCTTCCAGTGTATTCCTTTAGCACACTTTAAATGTGACCTTTTTTTAAACGGTAACCGGCTTCTACTCAACAAAGCCGAAGGAATCTAGTATTTGTAATGTGAAAGCTTAAAACAGAGATGGAGAGGCTTTTATGGTGTCAGATATTTTAGACCAATATAACAGCACTTTTTGATTTTTTTTTACTTACTTGTAAAGAAGGCAGCGAGATTTGCCGTGTAGGTAGAAATTAAAATCAAAATAAAGAACCAGAATGTAGAAGCTAACAGTCGACCGGAAGGCGCCAAGGGGGTGTTGTCGGGGCCTTGCTGCAGAACGGAAGCTGTAGCGAACCACAGGCTGTTCAACAGGTTAAACTCATTTCCAGGCTCATCATCTAATTCTCGAGCTCGGGCACGGTAACCGAACGGGCTCAAATAGTCCATCACACACATCATTGCCGTGATAAACAAAACCTGGAATAGCAAGTGTCGTTAAAAGAAGCCACTGCAGTGCTGCAATGCCTGAAGCCTACTAGGAAATGCACAAGTCAACCAACCGTCAAATTCTCAAAACAATCATAGTTGTTATTGTTATAATTGTTGACCAGACTATCTAGCTTGCTCTTTTTGGTGGGGTGGAGTTGGGTGGGTTGGGGTTACTACTGGAAAGAATCAAGCGCCCTAAAAATGCTTGGACATATATTCAAAAGGCATTTCAGTGACGTCGAGGATCATATAAGTATATCGCATTAAAAGGTTGTACTCGATAAAGCCATATACTGCACGACACAAACACAATTCTGCAGTCTTAAAATGAACATCGACACGTAATTTAGAACATTGTTTAATAGTTATACCTCACAACTACCGTTTGCAAGATACATTTTAACTAAACTCGTATAGCTGGACGAACTGGAAACAATGACTTCTTGCTCCCTTGACACTCAGAATCTCGGTTAAACAAACATTCAGGACCTCGCTGAAACAAAATTTACTGTTGCCCTTGGATTGAGGTCAGTAAAAATGGATCAAACACTCACCACTCCAACCGTGGACAACCACACTGTACCGGTGAAAGGTTGAAGGAAAGCAAAGTTGTTAATGGGTGGATCACCCGCTTTCTGCATGATGAGACTAAGGCTGAAGTCCATAAATGGCTTGCTAAAATCAATGTCCAACTCGCGTTCTGCGGTTATTGTTATTGGAACAAGCGCCATATCTTTTTCCTAAAAGAAACATGGTATTTATTCTTAGTAACTTCACAGCTAGTGACGTGCGCCACACTGTTGCTAGATGTTGCATGCCCAGAGCTGCGTTTCTCACAATCTCGTTCCCAGAGTCTTCGTTCCCCTTGACCAGCGGTCGGAAAACGAGAGCTCTGGGAGCAATCATTTCAGGCTTACGCAATAGATGCAGACTGCGCAGAGAAACCGGATGGGCAGAATTCGGTTATTTCAAAATGGTTGCTCCCAGAGCTCTCGTTTTCCGACCGCTGGTCAAGGGGGGCGAAGACTCTGGGAACGAGATTGCGTTTCTCAGGAAATAACCAAAATTGAATTCTTAAATCCGAAAACGGATTTTGCGTTTCTTTACTAAGCAAATTTGTCCATGATCACCCGGATCGTGGTGCATTAAGGGAACCGAAAAATCCACTCTGGGTTGGGATTCTTCGGTTGCCTTGATGCACCACGATCCAGTCGATCTTGGATTGTACGTTAAGTAGAGAAACCCAAAATTCGTTATTTATTTAAGAATCCTAAAGAAACCCACCCGTTAATCATACTGTGAGGTTTTCAACACCTTTCAAATTAAAAGAATGTGTTTACCTGATTCTTTAGTTCCTCAATTACATTTGAGTAACTTCCATCACTTCGTAAGAAGATTTCATACTCGAACTCAGCTTCTATCGAAAGCTCTTTAATTACGTCAATGAGAAATCCTTGAAGAACTCCTTCAGACACTTTTCCCGCCAGGTCTTCTGGTTTAGCTGACTTATTTGCCATCTCTACAAATGGTGGCTCCTAGAAGAACGTGCGATATTTTAAAAGGAAGCAATATTAACTTGAAGGAATTACATCATAGATAACAGATCACCCCAGCCTTCAGCCCCTCGACTCCCTGGAAACTCACACCCGACCACCCTCAGCAATGTCTGCAAACCGCGTAGTGCTGAACTTTTCAACTTTCGTAATCCATTTAAATCTTCCTAAACATAAGAGAAATCTTTCACTTCTTAAGTAAGGATCGATGATTTTGATGAATCTATTGATTTCAAAGCAGTTTTCTTCAATAGAGGAGTAGCTAAAAGCGACTTTATGAAAAATCCTGAAAACATTATAAGATATTTTTGACAACCCTCTAACCTTTCTGATTGCTAATCAGGATGCGAAAGCTATGGAAGGCAGTATTATCAAGTAATACGGTCGCATACTGAAAAATGACATTTCTATCTCCTGTTGTCAATACGAAATTCAAAATCACGCCAAGAATTTGTTTTTTCATATCTCTTGTATAAACTTCGCAAAGAGTTTTCTTTATTCAAATCACGTCATTACGCTCTCTGTTAACTGATGAAAGTTTTAATCAAAAGGGTTGGTCTTAACGTCTTTACCATCTTCAGACAAACGAGTCTGNCTCCAGATTTCAAATCCAGCGCCCTAAACCACTCGGCCACGCCGCCTCCCTTAAAAATATGGAAATACAGAAAGCAATTAGCAACAGTATGTCTACCGTATAAACAAACGGAAAAAGAGAATTAAAAACGGCCTCAACGACTGAAAGTTAACGCGACGTGTTCATTTTGTACATACCTTTAGAAAGAAGATCCTTCCCATCAACACTCAGAGGAGTTAACACTAATCTGTAGTCATACGTCTTAAGTATCCGTGGCAACTCGTTCCTAAAGACGTCCTCAAGAACACTTTTAAGACTTTCGGTGTCTTTGTTGTACAACGCCCCTGGCGAGGAAAAGTGGTTTGTTAGCGGACTGCCACATAAGTAAACAATCTTCGATTCTCGCCCCGCTCGAGCTACGTCCGAGGAAAAAATAAGAAGAAGTAACACTTTATTAAAGTGACTGACTCTTAGCTACACAGTTTTGACTAACTACATAGATTTTACCGAGATTTGACCCGAAAGATTCCACACCGAGAGCGTTTTCTACAAAGTTTTGTATAATTTGGCTGATTGGTTCTTGTTATCGTTGTTTCATTATTGAATAAACTGAACGTTATCATGAACAGCCCTACAGCTGTATTTTGAGCAGGCTGAACTGTAATGACAACACATGCTCTAGAAAGCTCACCTTTGGCCGTAATTAAAACTCTCCATTATATGAATTTCACTTGGTGTCAATGAAATATTAATCTGTTTTACAGTGAAAATGTTGCCGGATAAATTTTGACTACGCTTCGGTCATGAAAAACGTCTTCCCATTTTGCAAAATATGCATGTGAGAAAATGTATTTAAGATATGATGACCTAAACTATTTATTTCCAGAGAAAGTGTTGGAAAATGTTGGAGCAATGTAAAATAATCATAAGTTGCCAAGTTGTGTAAATGAATCTTCACCATCAGTAATGATGTGCTTCTAGTATGACGGTATTTTGTCAACATCTGGTTTGTTAACCACAATATGATCAGGCTGTACGCAAGATTAATTATGTTTTTGCAGCTTTCTCACGTTTTATTCCTAAATCAATCGTTAGCTATCCCTTTTGTTAAGTACATCAAATTCTTTGACTCGAGTAAAATGATTCTTCGTTTTTCTTTGAAGAAAACCATATCTTAAATAAAGATTTATGACACAGTTCTTGAGTTTTACCTTAGCGATTTGGAGCATACGGATTTTATTTAGAATTTTATCAATTCCACGAAAACACCATAAAACTTTTATGTTTCTGACATAACAAAAGAGTGCGAGGCCAAAATTAGCTAACAAAGTTGTGTTTAATTCAACTCAGTTATTCGAAATGACAATTTCTCAGCTGAATTATCTTCTGATATTTAATTTCGTATTTTCTTAGACAAAAAGAATTTTCATGCTTTGATTCTATTTCCTGGGTTTACATTTTGTTAACAAAACGGCTGAAAGTAGTGGCTATCAGAAAATAATCTTTCAACAAACACTTTCTTTCAAGAACGCATACAAAAACTCCGAACATACCTTGATTTCGCTGTTTGAAAAGGCTTGCAGGCGCTGTGATGTACTTTCGTCTGGCTACAACTTTTCATTTTCTCATAACATGAGTCTCAAAAAGGGCTAGCTAGGTTTTCTTATTCTTTTAGCTTACCTATTTTGATCAGCGTCGCTTTGTCTTGGGACGTCAATGCTAAAAGGAAAAAGGCGTGGAGAAAAGCCGGTACGAAAGACTTCCACATTGTGAGCTTATTTCAGGATACTGAAATACTCCGTGAAGGCAATAGTCCGTGTGTTTTCTTTCCAAGCGGTGAAATTACGTTCCGTAATTTTTAAAGCTTTTGTGTTTTTGCAAGCAAATCGATTCCAGGGTCAGTTCCTCCTGAAACAATCAGCCAGTGATCTTTGAAACACTCTTCGAGATCTCTTTTAAATGCGCATCGCAGCCCTTCGTTGATGAGTCAGAAAACTTCTCTTTAATAATTGATTTTCTCAGGACGTGTTTACATTGAAAACGAAGTTGTTAAATTATGCATGGCGGCCTGTTTCATGACTAAATCTGGAAAACGGACATTTGCCTGCATTAAAATTCATATGAAATAGTAAACAAGTCGGCACTCTTAAAAATCACTTTCGCACGCACATATTCCGAAGTCGAAATCAAGTTTATCGACGGCTGCTTATGAGATTGATATTATGTTATTCATCGTTATTATTTATCCAGTTACCAGTTATGCAGTCATGAAGACCATTCCGTAAACAGAAAATTTAGGCTTTGAATCGTGCGCTGCTTAATGCTGACTAAGACTTATACTCTTGCTGGCAATTCCTGATCAGTTCGTCACGTATACACACTCTTAATTAGCATAATCATTGACCTTTATTTTATAGTACTTACTTGCAAGTGGGTCTTCAGTTGTCGTTTATGTATCCTTTGAATAAACCTTACTTAACTGCATTTAGTTTTGTGTCATTGTGATGGTCCCGCCTTATGAACTACATATAGGTGCTTCGACTGCAGTAAAGGTGTGATTGACCTTAGCTCCAATTTTTTTTCACCGGCAAGACACCCACACAGCAACTCTGACAAAGCTGAAAAAATACCCAGAAAATTATTTCCACTTTGGTCTCCGACCTAACTACATTTAATCCCTAGCTCTTTTACTGTTCAATTTTTTCCAAAGTTTTAGCTAGTTCTTAACTGATTGAGCTGTTAAATCTTTTCACTATCAGTGAAAGGGAGATTTCCAATAGATCGACGCAACGTAAAGAGCGTGAAGATTACTTTCACGAATATCAGCCGAAGACTGACACGATCTTCTCCCCAATATTCGAAGATTAACGAACATTCCGAAAGTTAGTCTAAAAGTTCACGACCAAGGTAGCCAAGCACTTCCGAAGACCTCAAAAGATTTCCGTGAATGATCGGTTGACCGAGCAAAAGCGCGCAAAGTGGACTTAGAGAGGATTATTAATTACCATGGCAACAGGCCGTACTGAAAAATCCAGATTGAGAAACAGACATTTAGGGAACGTAATAGTTATCCTTGCTATTTAACAAATTTTGCTAATAGTCTACCTGATTACTTTCGACACTCACTTGAAAACCGCTCTATTATTCTAATAAACAACTGGATTATGAGCTCGACATTTCTATCGCATAGAAATCGAGACGAACAATCCAATTGTTTTAGTATAAATCTACTAGTCGTTCAAAACTGTATCCAAATCCTCTTCACAGACACTTCAAAAATGCCAAGAAGCGGCCGTCAATTTGTTAACAAGGGCACACTGCTACACTACTCACTATCTATCACAGAATAGATAGTGAGTAGCGTAGCCAATCAGAGAACGGCATTCCTGATAGAGCGCTAATAGATTTATACTAATAACTTATGAACTGTGTTTTCCCCAAGTTACTCTTATACAACTTACTCACGTACTACTTCCCGAATAGTAGGCGGCTCAGAAATCGAAGTAGCCGGTTTTTTAGCCGGCTGCGGGCAGTTAATAAGAAGCCTGGAGTATATGTTCATGAAGAGTGGGGCCTACTTAATATCCCCAACGAAAAGATTTAGAGAAAGTCTCCTTCCTTATTAAGATGCTCTTTATTAATTTATACATTTCCGCTACATTTTCTCTATTCTATAATGTATTATGCATCGAACCTGGATGTCTTAAAAGATGCTGGAGAACAGAGCATTCTGATTTCCTTTCATAATTACATTACCAGGCAAAAAGCCACTGAAGTGAATTAAGATTGTTAGAAGGACCTTCAACAACATTTTAGAGACCTTATAGTCTTTACTCCATAGAAAAGTAACACAGTCATCACTGAATTTAGCTTCTACAGCATGTCAACGTTCTCCTTTAGCTTATCACTGTGCGTCTATGTTCAAGGAATTGTGCGATTAGTCAGTTCAAGTCAAGAGATTATCAAGGTAAGAGGGAGAATCCCCCATATAGGTCTTATACCAAAGGTAATCTCTCTTAAGTCACTTTTAGACATGGTACCCATGGCTGTCCACGCATCGCGCGAGTAACATTCTCGGAATAACTGGGCACCATATCTAAAAATAACTTAAGAGGGATTACCTATGGCATAAGGCCTATATGAGGGATTCACTCTCTTACCTTAATAATCTCTTGGTTCAAGTTCATAAATAATTCCATAGAGAATGTGGCCCACTTCAAGCGCTGGTTTCTTCCATTATCTTTTACCACCTTACTTACGTTTCGATTATGTTGAAACTGCTGAACAAGATGTTCAGAACTCGAGAAGAAAGCAACCACAAAAATTACATGCAGAGGCACTTGCTAGTTTCCATTGTAAAGCCTTTGTGTGTTGCTCGATGAAATGAGTACAAGTCTAGCAACGCAAGTCAATTCGTGTAGTTTTTTAGCGGTAATAAGCTCTTTAGATGCGAGCGCCCACTTCTTTGTTGAGGAGGATTGATCGCTTTTTAAAGTTCATAGCAGGCTCAGCATATTAACTTTACATCTATTGTTTCGTATGCGTAATCCTCATCTTCATCTTTGGGACACTGAAAATCACGGAAAAAGCAAAGTTACTCAAGAAAGAAGAGATAGCTATTTTCTGGACAAGAAAGGCCGTAGTAAAGTGGCAAGGACCACTCAAGTGCGTCCCAACTGCCAAAATAACATCTCGACAACGGCCTGTTAGTCAAAGACTGACGAATAGTGGTATACAAAGCCCCAATTCAACCTCTTCAAAACAGCCACTTTCCCCTATCCTCAAGGTGGCAGTTGTGGGGAGAATCGACTGTATTATATGTACAACCCCTTTTGCTCGTACCAAATCCCCACCGCAGTATGTTATCATTACATATCTCTCCCATTCCCAACAAGACGTCACCATGCAAGGAATGAACTACCTTCAGCCTCTTCCAAACAACTTATTCCAAGAGGTTGATGTGGGTTTTTCCTCAGTTCGTCTTAGCACCTTGTCTCCCTGGGACAACACCACAGCCACTCGAACCGGAATCGCCTTGGGAACGCTTGACTGTTCACGTGGCTCACAACTACGACTCAGCCGTCGCTTAAGGGCACTCTGCAAAGGAAATGTCACCTCGTAACGTCAGTAACAACATCCAGCTTAAGATAATGCCGTTTGCCAGATGTAGGCTGCTTATGCCTCAGTAAAGATTCCAATCAATGCCTCATTCGTACCTATTTTCGCGCGTCTCAATATCACCATAAAAACTTTATAAAATCAAACATTTACATTCTACGGCTGTCTTCAAGATGACAATCGGGTGTTTTAACTTATCACTCAAGGATATTGGCAATGGATGGGAGAAAGTGGAGATAGGACGATTCACCGTTGGGCACCTTGTCTTAAAGATCTTGTTTAAAATACTTCAGTACGGTATTATTGTATCGTCCCTGTCGCACGAAATATTACCTGGCTACTTGTGAAGTACACAACCAACCTCTTGCAGCGTATTTCAATAACGAGTAGGATTAAGGAGATAATGACACCACCCAACAAAACTAGGAACACTCCGGCCATGTTATTGACATCAAGACTCTGTGTTTTCCCTGTTTTGGACTGTGATGGTTTTGGACACTGGCTACGTTCATCCCACCATTTTCGACGAGTCCTCTCGATAAAGTATCTCTCACGTAACTGTAAGGACATAATGACACGAGATTAAGGAGAAAACAATTCTGCACTAGGGCGAAATTTGCCAGATCAAACCAGTACTTTCTCCGTTTCTGTACCTGATAAGGAGATTGGGAGTATCACTTCCCCCACCTGGATTAGGTAAGGGTCTATCGAGATCGCTGGTTTCCCCTCGAGCGTGTTGACAGGTTTTACTATAAAACTTATGCTCCCTTATAAGTAAAGAGAAAAATTGTGAGAGGCGAGTGCCTTGCCTAACAACACGATATGTAGTCACTAGTTGTCAATCCACTTTCGGTCAAAAATCTCAATTAACTTCAGCTTCAAATTCGTCAGCAGAAGGCGAAAAGCAGCATCTTACATGAATTACTGCTCAATATCTTTTATTTGTATGGCAGCGTACTAAAGGTTTCATCCACTGGCCACTTTTCCTGAGTGGAGCCACATTAAGTGACAAGATTTGCAGTTCAGTTTGAACCAGGGACGATGGGTTTTGATTATAAAGAGTTAATGAACCTTATACTGGTTTAGTTCAACATCAAACCTCGTGCAAAGAAACGGCCTTTAAATTTAAAGATAAGAATATATACGATTAAATAACTCGTCACTCGCCGCTAAAATTGCCACAGAAATTCTGTTTGTGTAGGGCGAATTCTGCTGCAAGCCAATCCCATAGCCCTTGGCTTGTAGAAGGTTGTTCAGCAACCTTGTATTGCACGGTTTTTGCTGATTGTAGTATTCCAGGTAGGGCTGTTCAGTTATGTAGGCGTAGTTTTCGTTCCTCGCTTTCTTAACGCCCTCTGAAGTAGCATTCACGAATGTCTGGTGCTCCCTCATATGCGAGAACATTTTTAGATAAAGAGGATCTTCCGATTCCTTGAAGAACTTCTGCACAGAGCCATTGCTGAGAACTCCGTATTTAGTCTCGTTTTGATTCTCCAGTTCCTCCAGGGAGTTAATAGTTTTCACGGTTCGTTTTACTTGAAGAAATAAAAAAGAAAACCATGTAGTTCTTCATTCATTTTCCATGAATGCAAATCTTATGCAGCAGTCGCTTGATTATCGTGAAGAATGCCTAGACATCATTAATTACAGTTCAACCTCAATTAACGGTCACCCTCGGGAAAATGAATAGTGTCCGCCTAAGGTGGCCGAACACAGTTTTCAAGAGCCTATGCCTAATTCACCATTACTTTTAAGCTATTTATGCTTTGGCGCCCGTTTTTTGCAAGAGTCAAGGT